AATTAATAAACACATCAATTTTTATATATTTTAATCCTTTTCCCCCCTCCCCCCCGGACTTCCCAGAGCTAAACCCAGGAATAATTGCAAAATAATTTTAATCTATCCAAAGCTATCCGTTCATACAATAAACAAGTATAAACTTACTATAACTCTATAATAGGTAGGTCGTTCTTTAATTCCCAAAATCCCGAAAGCCTAAATCTATCAACCGTGTGATAGGGCAACATCTGTCTCAAAGATGCTTTTAATTGTTTAAAGAAAGGTTGTTGGAATTGGGTATGTCTAGTTTAATTAAAAGAAGGACCAGGGGTGACATGAGAGCAGTCTTCCAGTATCTCAGGGGCTGCCCCAAAGAAGAGGGAGTCAAGCTATTCTCCAAAGCGCCTGAAGGCAGGACAAGAAGCAACGGGTGGAAACTAATCAAGGAGAGAAGCAACCTAGAACTAAGGAGAAACTTCCTGACAGTTAGAACAATTAACCAATGGAACAACCTGCCTCCAGAAGTTGTGGGTGCTCCAAAACTGGAATTTTTTAAGAAGAGACTGGACCACCATTGGTCTGAAATAGTATAGGGCAGGGGTTCCCAGCCCCGGTCCATGGACTAGTACTGGGCCACGGCATGCCAGCAACCGGTCCGCACAAACAAAGCCCCATCCGTGGGATGCAGGCAGCACACAAAACCACGCAGTCTCCAGTCCGTGGGATAACTTCTCTCCACGGAACCGGTCCCTGGTGCCCAAAAGATTGGGGACCTCTGGTATTAGGGTCTCCTGCCTGAGCAGGGGGTTGGACTAGAAGACCTCCAAGGTCCCTTCCAACCTCCAGCGTTGGAGCATCCACAACTTTTGAAGGCAAGTTTTTCCACTGATTGTTCTCACTGTCGGGAAGTTTCTCCTTAGTTCCAGGTTGCTTCTCTCCTTGATTAGTTTCCATCCGTTGCTTCTTGTCCTGCCTTCAGGCACTTTGGGGAAGAGCTTGACTCCCTCTTCTTTGGGGCAGCCCCTGAGATATTTTGTTAATAGAGTTGGAAGGGACCTTGGAGGTCTTCTAGTCCAACCCCCTGCTCAGGCAGGAAACCCTATACCATTTTGGACAAATGGCTGTCCAGTCTCTTCTTAAAAACTTCCAGTGTTGGAGCATTCACTGCTTCTGGAGGCAGGTTGTTCCACTGGTTAATTGTTCCCACTGTCAGGAAGTTTCTCCTTAGTTCTAAGTTGCTTCTCTCCTTGATTAATTTCCATCCATTGCTTCTTATCCTGCCCTCAGGCGCTTTGGAGAATAGCTTGACTCCCTCTTCTTTGGGGCAGCCCCTGAGATATTTTGTTAATAGAGTTGGAAGGGACCTTGGAGGTCTTCTAGTCCAACCCCCCTCTGCTCAGGCAGGAAACCCTATACCATTCCAGACAAATGGTGTAACCAAAAAAAGCAAGGCCACGCGTTTTAATGCATATCCAGGCACACCTTTTATAGATCTGTAATGCAAAAGTCTGGATAACTTGGGGGGGGGACACAAGGGGAAGTGATACTGCCTGGGAAACAGGAGCCCCCAAAAGATTGGGCAGCAGGAGAGTGGGGGGGGACGTCAGGGCAGGCAGGAATTCAGTGCTGGCGGTCCCGGATGATCTGAGTTCAGGTCCTGCATCTCCCCAGGATGGGGGGGACGATCCAGAGTTGTGTTTGAGGGCCATTCTCCCCCCCTATCTCTCTTTCAGACTGTTTGCTCCTGCTGGTGTACAAGGAGAGGGCTGAGCGCTTGAGAGGGTTGAAGGAGAGGAGCAGCGTGACCCTGGAGGACATTTGCGGTTTGGAGCCCGGCCTTTGCTACGAGGGGCTGACCCACACCCTGGCCATCATCTGCCTCACCCAGGTGGTCATGCTGGGCTTCGAGAGCAAGGAGACCATGCACCTCTGGGATCTGCACGTCCGCTACAGTTTAGGGGAAGGTAAGGCAGGCGTCCTCACTTGGACCGGGCCAGGGGTAGGCAACCTTGGCTCTTTTATGACTCGTGGACTTCAACTCCCAGAATTCCTGAGCCAGCATGGGGGAACTATGACCCCTTCATGACTGGTGGACTTCAACTCCCAGAATTCCTGAGCCAGCATGGGGGAACTATGGCCCCTTCATGACTGGTGGACTTCAACTCCCAGAATTCCTGAGCCAGCATGGGGGAACTATGGTCCCTTCATGACTCGTGGNTATGGCTCCCTTCATGACTGGTGGACTTCAACTCCCAGAATTCCTGAGCCAGCATGGGGGGAACTATGGCCCCTTCATGACTGGTGGACTTCAACTCCCAGAATTCCTGAGCCAGCCATGCTGAGGGGACAGGGAGAGGTTTCCAAGCTGAGCCAGGCTGGCTCAGGAATTCTGGGAGTTGAATATATATATAGATCAGTGATGGCGAACCTTTTAGAGACCGAGTGCCCAAACTGCAACCCAAAACCCACTTATGTATCGTCGGGTACCGGGTGGGTGTGGCCCATTGGGTGGGCGTGGCTGCAGTGGTAACGGCAGACTGGGTGGGACTAAAAAGTTCAATCAATCAATTCCAACTTTGCAAGATCTTTTTTTTTTTCCGCGAGAAGTTGAAATTGACTGATTGATTGAACCTTTTTTTTTTTGTACACAGTGGTGGAGGCCTAAAGCGAAAAGGTTTGATAAAACCCAGCTGAAGGCCTAGGACTGGGGCAACGGCGCATGTGCCGCCTTTGGCACCCGTGCCATAGGTTCGCCACCACTGATATAGATCAGTGGTTCTCAACCTGTGGGTGGGGACCCCATTTGGGGTCGATTGACCATTTCACGGGGGTCGCCAAGCAAGGCTGTCCGCCATTTTTTTTGTCCCCCATTTTTTTTGTCCCCCATTTTTTCCCCCTTTTCCGGCGGGTGCCTTTTTTCCCCCTTTCCCCCTTGGGCTGGGCCAGCTGGTGGTCGGCCTGCTCCGTCTCTGCCGCTTGCCAGCTACGCCTCAGCCAGCGCAGGGGGCGGAACCACGCATGCACGGCGCTCCCGGGCAGGGAAAGTCCTCGACTTACGACCGGTTTAGTCCTCGACTCACGACCGGTTTAGTCCCTGACTTACGACCGGTTGGGGTCGCGGCATTAAAAAGGTTGAGAACCACTGATATAGATAGTCCTCCCTACAGGTATCGTCAGAAAGATGCTGGCCGATCCGAAGTTCTTAGCTGATCCAAAGGGAGCTAAAGATATTTAAATGAAAAGCTGAATTCCTTGGGTTTGTACCCCCCACCCCACCCCGTCCAAACAGTCCACAGGTTTCACGTTGTCGTAGCGCCTGGAACCAAGTTGGAAAGTGGCCCAGCGACTCTTCACTTCTGCAACGACATGCTAGTCCTGGTGAAGGACGTCCCACCAGTTATTATGGGTCAGTGGAAGCTTTCGGACCTCCGGCGCTATGGGGCCGTTCCTAACGGATTTGTTTTTGAAGGCGGGACACGATGCGGCTTCTGTGAGTATTCACCATGCCAAGATATACATACATACACACATATATATATATATTTACTCTAAATCTAGAAAAAAAACAGCGAACCGAAGAGGTTAGAGAAGCTAGCCCACGAAACTCTTTCTGGATTACTGAAAATTCCTTCCAACAGAATGTGGCAAGGGAGATAACGGGGGATAATTCTTTCAACTGCCTTAATCCTAAAATCTAAAGAAAAATAAAGCTTTAAAAAAAATCCACCTTTTTTTTAAAAAAAGCATTCGGATTTTACGCTTAAAACAAGTGAAGATCGTTCTGGCTGACAAACTCATTTTCATTTCGAATCTGTGGGAAACTACAGCTAATCTTCAACTTAATTGACCGTAATTGAGCCCCAAATTTCTGTGAGACGTGTGTTAAGTGAGTTTTGCCCCCATTTTAGGGACGTTTCTTGCCCCAGTGGTTAAGTCACGGGGTCTTCCAACTTGGCCCTTTGATGACTTGTGGACTTCAACTCCCAGAATTCCTCAGCCAGCCTCCATTTTGTTTGTTAGATTTAAGACAGGGGTCTTCCAACTTGGCCCTTTGATGACTTGTGGACTTCAACTCCCAGAATTCCTCAGCCAGCCTCCATTTTGTTTGTTAGATTTAAGACAGGGGTCTTCAAACTTGGCCCTTTTGTGACTTGTGGACTCCAACTCCCAGAATTCCTCAGCCAGCCTCCATTTTGTTTGTTAGATTTAAGACAGGGGTCTTCAAACTTGGCCCTTTTGTGACTTGTAGGACTTCAACTCCCAGAATTCCTCAGCCAGGCACGCTGATGTTATTATCTTATTCTACTGCACCCAAGGGAGTTGGAAGTCAATGCCTTTTTTTTCCCTCTTTCCCTTCTTTTCCTACATTTTTCCCTCCTCTTTTCCCTCCCCTGTTTTTCTCTATTATTTGCTTTTGTGTTTTTGCATTTTGCATTACAAACGAATAAAGAAGCATCAAAATTTGAAAAAAAATAGGGAAGAAAGTGAAGGAAAAATTTAAGTGTAAAATGTAAGAAAAAATTTATATAAAGCTTAAATGTTGAAGGTGGATAGATTATATTTAGAGAAAGTATGGAGTGAATAAATATCATATAGTTTTTGAGTAGATATATTGTTTTTAATTATTGCTTTATTAGAGTTAAAGTAGGTATATATTGATAGTATTATGTTTGTTTAGTTAAATTGTAATTTAGATATGGAATGGGATGTGTATTAATCCTGTATCTGGTCCCGGGAAGCCCAGGGGGGGAAGGGGATTAGGGGAATTATAAAAATTGATGTATTTACATGTTATAGGTAAATAATAATTGTATTGATAAGAGGAGATGCTCGGCTGGTATCCCAAATTGCACTCGAGGAGGTGGTTAGAAAGGAGAGGGGATGTAGGTAGGTGGTAAGGAAGAAGGAGGAGAGGTTGTGGGTTAGAGGGAGGAAGGATAGGAAAGTGGATGAGGGCGGAGGCAAGGCGGGGACTGCCGAGCGTTTCCGATAATGTATTGACTTGGATTGTTTTTTCTGTTTGTGTATACAAATGCATCATATTGTTACTTATTGTTTAATTATAAAAATCAATAAAAAATTTATTAAAAAAAAAATTGAAAAAAAATAAAAATAAAAATGGCTGAACGCATAAGCCGCGTAAATTACGTTTTTGCTCTCTTTCAGGGGCCGGCGTCTTTTTCCTCTCTTGCACGGAAGGAGAAAAAATCAGCTTTCTCTTTGACTGCATTGTTCACGGCATCTCTCCGACCAAAGGCTTCCGGCGGGTGCTAGCAGGTTAAGACCGGGAGACACCCCCCCCCACAGGAATGGGGTGACGAGCAGAGCTGATGCTTCTGTCCCTGGTCCACTCTAAATAACTAAATCCCGACCTTTAGGTATTTAGAGAGAGGCAAACAGAACCCTACGGGATCAAAATGCACAGTTCCTAACCCAAGTCAACTGTGTAAGGCAGAGTTGCCCAAACTTTCCAGCTTTGTGGACCGGGGGTGGGTGGGGGGGGAGAGAGGGGATGTTCCCCGTGAGTGGCTGGCAAGCGTGTGTGCGCAGCAAGTGGCGGACACACGCACCCACGGCTCTCGCAAGTGGGGATGTGTGTCTGCTCGCCCGCTGCTCCCGGGACCCGTTTTGTTTTGTTTTATAAATGTTTTATTTTCTATTTTCACAAACAAGTGCTCAATAGACAACGTGATGGCTGAGTCCCTTAAAAATTGGGTGATACGTATAAGTTTTCCTAACTAGGTCCAGTACATCCTCTCTTTTTCTGATAACCATTTTTCCGCATTAAGCAAAAACAATTCTTATTCTTCTTCTTCTTCTTATTATTATTATTATTATTATTATTATTATTATTATTATTTTTATTTTTATTTTTATTTTTATTTTTATTTTTATTTTTATTTTTATTTTTATTTATTTATTTATTTATTTATTTATTTATTTATTTATTTATTTATTTATTTATTGAATTTATATACCGCCCTATCTCCCTTACGGGACTCAGGGCGGTGAACAGGTGATAATAAAAACCACGATAAATATACACGTTTCTGTTCTAAAATCAAATTAAATAACAGGCCTGCTCTAAAAGTACCCCATACAAAACCTCCACTAAAACATAATCAAACTATTATTGTTAGTAAACATACAAGTAAACATACAACATAATCAAACTATTATTGTTAGTAAACATACAACTGCATATCTGCATATCTGCATATCAACATTTGTTACACTTTTCTAATAGTATCAATAATATCAGTTTAAAATACCTTTCCTAGCCAAAACATACCTTAATTGCATTTGCACTCTGTTTCCACTTATTTAATCCATATCCTGTTTTCGCTTTTTTCAGTTTTAATTTCCCTTCCATGTTCAAAGTATCCCAATCATTTATAATTTCAAAACAAGCTGTATTTGGGCAACCAAAACCATCCCTTATTCAAAGTTCTTAGCCTATTCTTATTTCCCCTTTCATACCAAGATATAATATAATATCCTATCCAGTTATAAGAATACTTCTATTTCTAACCATCTATTCTTAACCGTATTCAAACCTCTAATTAATAATATAGCATCCCCTCTATTAGGTCAAAGCTTCTGTTTCCTTCAGTCTTACTCTAGCTTGCTTTCTTTGCCAACTAACTTTCCAAGTCAGTGCATTTGGCTCTTCAAATAATTCTTCCTCTATTTTTGTATATATTATTTGGAACGAGAGAAATAATTTGGTTGAAGTGTTTTTGGAAGAGCTAGCCCGTTGATATTCATTAAACCGCCTTCGGTTTTGAATGGCTCATGGACCACTAGTGGGCGGCGGCCCGGGGGTTGGGGACCCCTGGTGCAAATGCTCAAAGTCACCGTTCACTTCATTCGGCATACTTGGGCTTGGTCTCCTGGTGATCCTGGGATCAGCCAGAGCTGGGCTGGACCTGCCAGGCTCTCCTTCACCTGTTCATTAGAATTAATCTCAGCCTCTTTCTCTCTTTCTCCTTGAAGACCCCAGTGCGAGTCCCGCCTGCATGGAAGAAAGGGTGGCCTACGAGGCTTCGAAGTTGGAGAAGCGCCTCAGCCTGCTCTCCCACGGCGGCAGCCACGGCAGCGGAGGTAACACCTCACCCGGCCCTTCCTTCTCCATCCCAGGAATTTGCTTTGCAGCTGAGCCACAGAAGTGAAGCTCCTTCAGGGCCCAGAGGAGAATAAGGCTGTGCTTCAGAGGCCAGGCTGGCCTTGTGTGTGCTGCCTTTTGCACAGCCGGTGCCAGGTTCCGGGTCTGCAAAGAAGATTCTTTGGCCAACTTCATAAAGGGCAGTTGCTGAGACGGGATTGGGGAGTAGACAGAAGCGAACACAGGACAAAACTTTCCGCAAAACTAGCCAGAGCAACCACAGAGATACCGTATTTTCCCGAAATTAAGGCCTGGCCAGGATTACTGGGGTCCCTCTCTGCTCCTCTTCCACTCTTTAATCCTGTGTCCCTTCTTCCCTCCCTCAGGGGATGACCGGAGCTTGTCCAGCGCATCCTCGGACACCAGCCACTCCGACGCCAGCGTTGGCAGCAGGTTGACCCTCTGGCCGGAGCAGTCCTCCGCCGGCACTTCCCAGGAGTCGCGTGGACCGGCTGCAGCCGCCGCCACAGAGACGCTTCAGTCCGAAGGCAGCCAGGGGCCCAGCAAGCCGCCCCCCAGCCTCCTGCGCTGCAGGCAGCTCCAGGAAATTGGCCGCCAGAGCTCGTCCGACAGCGGGATAGCAACCGGCAGTCACTCCTCGTATTCCGGAAGCTTCTCTTCCTACACGGGGAGCCTGGACATTAGCCACGGGGATGAGTTCGGCTCCCTGCTGAACCTCTCGCTCAGCTTCCCTTCCGACCGGAATGTTTGCAGCTGCCCCGGCCCGGAGTACCAGGCCCCCAGCTGGCTACGGCACACCTACGATACGCCCCGGAGTTTGCTCGCCGCACCTATGGCGGGCCTTCTCGCCTCTGCTACAGAGGCCGGCCCGTCCAAGGCCCAGACCCTCAAAGGGGACATGAAACAGCCGGCCTCGCATCTGGAGAGAGAAGCCACTTCCAGGCCGAGCCAGGAAAAGGACTCGCAGGGCGTCTTCCCCCTGGGAAGCACCAAAGGCCCCTTCCCGGAGACGCAGCTCAGGCAGCCGGTGCAGGGCCAGGACCGTGGAGGGCCCGAGGCTGCTCCATGCGGGGCCGTCTCCAGCCGTCCTTGCGAACTGTGCAACTCCCCTTCCGAGGCGAAGCCGGCTCTCTTCCCGTCTTGCCCGGTCTGTGGTGGGATACAGGTAAAAACGTGGCTAGCAGCTAACCTCGCTTTGAATCTGTGTTGCCCTCAGTTGTGTATTTGGATCCAAAACTTTCCTGGCTTTCTTACCCAGCCGCCACAGGTGATAAAATGACTCGTCTTGTTATTCAGGTTTCCGACATCCCTTTAAACTACCTTTGTACCTCTTTAGACAGCTGGACTTCCTTCTTTTTTCCTGGAAGATATTTTGCTTCTTCAGCTCTGACTGGATGGTGAAGGATGGAAGGATTTATACTCCTTGCAGACCGCTGGTCATTTGCCTTCTTTTAGAGAGCCGTTGAGGCCACTTGGAGGTTTGTCTGTGTCCTCAGGGTCCAAGTGGCCTCAACGACCCTCTAAAAAGAAGGCAAATGACCAGCTGTCTGCAAGGAGTATAAATCCTTCCCCACCATCCGGTCAGAGCTGAAGAAGCTTCTGGGATGAGAAGCGAAACATCTTCAAAGAAAAACAAGAAAGTCCAGTTGCCTCCTGAAAAAGAATCTTTGGGATAGGCTTTAGACAATTTTTCTGGTGTCGTACACCAAGGGTGCATCATAAGATAAGATAAGATAAGATAAGATAAGATAAGATGATGATAAGATAGATAAGATAAGATAAGATAAGATAAGATAAGATAAGATAAGATAAGATAAGATAAGATAAGATAAGATAAGATAAGATAAGCTTTATTGTCATTTTTATACTGTGGGCACAATGGCACACATGAAAAATGAAATTTAGTTGCCCGCTCTCAAAGTGAAACACATACATGACGCACACCTAAACATACTATGAACAACATATGTATAGACCCACATCCCTACATATACGTAGCAAATAAATATTAAATACTGTCCATCTTGAATATATAACGGAAGGTAAAGTAAATTGATAGAAGGGGATATTCGTAGCTCAGGGTTAAACTCTGGACTCCCGGATGTTCTGCGAGCTGGGTTGTTTCCTTGCAGACATTTCACGACCCAACTAGGTAACATCATCAATGCTAGAAGGGCGTGGGGTTCGCCCTCTGTTTACCTGCAAGCGGCTCGCTCTGTCAGCGTTGGAGGCAGTGTTTTTGGCAGCTCCTGGATTAAGCTGTGGTTGGCTGGAAAAGGAAATTGGCCGTATCGTTGCTCACAGTCCCTCAGACCCTCGTGACCCCTTGTCTGGACTGTTGCAATGTGCTCTACAAGGAGCTGCCCTTGAAGAGCGTTTGGAAGCTTCAACCGGTGCAGAATGAGGCTGCACAGGTGTGAAAGAATGTCAGATATTGGACACCCGTAACACCGCTGAGCTGCATTTGTGGACTGATTGTGCATTGGTTGCCAGTGTGTTTCTAGGTGCAATTCCAGGTGCAATTCCAGCCTTTCTGGGGTTTTTTTGGGGGGGGGGCTCCTTTTTAATGTGTTTCTATAGAGATGTTTTAAAAGATCCAGAGAAAGCGGTTAGTTTTGCAAGAAGCGTATTTTAATGCAGCCTATTCTCTCTGCGTGTGTGTTTGTGTGTTTTTAAAGGAAACTTCAATTTTATCGCCTCAAATCTTCGCAGCTAATCTAGGTAAGAACCACGGATGGATCTGAATTTTCCCGCGTCATTCGGGTCCGAAGGAAAAAAAATTCCCCATTCAAGTTCTGGTTGTTCACCCCTCCGGGCGTATCCAGTTAAGTGATTGTCATTTAAAAGTCTGTTTTCCCCCTTGGTCAAGAGTGCTACTTACAGTAGTGGCCAAAATTGTGGAAACCTTTTGGGGAAAAGTGTACAATAGAAATGCCACCTTTGGTTAAGTTTCCACCCATTTTCCCTTCTCATTTCTTTATAACTGCAGCCTTGTTCACTGAATAATACTATTTTACATCGCTTTCTGGGCAACCAGTCAACTCTTTGCACCATGACTTTTAATTTTATTACGTTTTACAAGCTCACTAAATGAAAGAACACAACCCCCCCCAACCGACTTGATAGCGATCACATAACACACTGACAAATGTCCTCCTCTCAGCTTCAATACATGAGATCAATAACCGAATCCTACCGTGATCTGATTGGCTCATTGCCAAAACAAGATGACACCCGATTGGCTCTCTAAACACTCACGCTCATTGGCTACAATCGGGTGAAGGAAAGCTACCTGAGATCAACCTAAGCAAGTTGTGTTTCCTTTTTCTGGTTCTTTGGCTATAACTTTTCATAGAATACAGTACAGATCATTGAACAAACTATGTTACGTTACATTCTTGATTAAATTATCTTTCCATTGACATATAATTTTACGGCACTGCTCCAAAAAAGAAAGGGGTGTTATTAGCCATCAAACCTCAAAAATACACTTTTCCCAAAAGGTTTCCACAATTGTGGCCACTACTGTATCTTTATCGCAAGGTTACACAAAGGAAATTTCGCAGCTTCACTACAAAGGGTGCGAAGAGAAAATCATCTGCTGTGAACTTGGTGTGGGTGTCAAGAGGGGTATCCGGCCAGCTAATATTCCGATTCAGTCAGTCGCCATGACCTCGCCCCGAATTAAGGGACTACAACAGGGGTAGGCAACCTTGGCTCTTTTATGACTCGTGGACTTCAATTCCCAGAATTCCTGAGCCAGCCACGCTGAGGGGAAAGGGAGGTTTCCAAGCTCAGCCATGCTGGCTCAGGAATTCTGGGAGTTGAAGTCCACCAGTCATAAAATGGCCTAGTCCTAGTCCAGGGGTAGGCAACCTTGGCTCTTTTATGACTCGTGGACTTCAACTCCCAGAATTCCTGAGCCAGCCACGCTGAGGGGAAAGGGAGGTTTCCAAACTCAGCCATGCTGGCTCAGGAATTCTGGGAGTTGAAGTCCACCAGTCATAAAAGAGCCAAGGTTGACTACCCCTGAACTACAAGAAGAGAAAAAAAACACCAAGGAAATTTCGTAGTTTCTCTCTCAGGGCAAGAAGACAAAACACCTATTGCAAACTCTGCGTAGGCGTCAGGAAGGGCATCCGGGCAGCAAACGCTCGTCTCCAGTCGGTTGCCCAAACCCCACCCCAAATTAAGGGACTACATGATCATTAAAAGAAGAAGAAAAAACACAAAGGAAATTTTGCTAGTCTGAAAGTACATCTCCCCCCCCCCCACATATGCCTTTACAGTCCAAGATACTAGGGAGGGTCCCTTCCGAGGCAGTAGTCATGCCCGCCTTCCTTCTGCAGGCTCAGCTGCTCCTTATCTGACCGTGGTCTGGTCTGCCAGGCTTCCTCCCGCTCCCGCGGCCATCCCCACAGACTTCGCCTCTGTTTATTTCCTGCAGAACTGCCGCTTTCCGAGCAATGGCACGGCGACACGGCCACGTACGTGAATATCCCTACAAGTCCCACCGCCAAGAAGCAACTCCATTACATGGAGGTGGAGCTTCAGGAGCCCAGCGCAGGCATTCGTGGTAAGAATCTATGAAAATAACCTGAGCAGGAAAGAGCGTAAAGCAGGGGTCTTCAAACTTGGCCGCTTGAAGACTTGTGGACTTCAACTCCCAGAATTCCTCAGCCAGCCTCCATTTTGTTTGTTAGATTTAAGACAGGGGTCTTCAAACTTGGCCCTTTTATGACTTGTGGGACTTCAACTCCCAGAATTCCTCAGCCAGCCTCCATTTTGTTTGTTAGATTTAAGACAGGGGTCTTCAAACATGGCCACTTGAAGACTTGTGGACTTCAACTCCCAGAATTCCTCAGCCAGCCCTGAATCTAACTAAAATAGCCACAGTGACAGGTGGTC